GTCCAGGACATCTGGGAACAAGATCTGGGAAACAGTCTGCACCAACAGATCTGGATATTTGCTGGGTTGGAGAATACAGGCAGAGGTTGGAGGTACAGCACCAGCAAGCACTCTTGCCTTTCCTTGCTGTTTAACGCAGAGCAGGTGGGAGCACGCCACACAGGGCAAAAGTCAGTATCTGCACAGTCTGACTATGGAGGACAGCTTGCCTTCTCTGTATTTGTGAATTTTACAAGCCACACCAAAACAAGCTTAAAGATGATTTTACTGTCTGGATTAGGCTACAAAAAGTACAAAGAAATCAGAAAACAACTCCCTTGGTGACCCTATTTATCATGAGTTTCTGCACGGTTGTGACATCTGTTTTGTTTGCCCTATACTTTCAACTAGGCTTTGTCATGGGAGGGTTATCTCTGAAGTACCAGCTGAGGAATAACAGCAGCCAAAGGTGAAGTTTGATACACCTAGGAAAGAGAAAGCAGGTACAACCATGTAGGACGCTGGGTGAAAGGCAAGAAACAGGGCAAATCTCTCTCTGAAAAGGCATGTGGTTATACTGAAGGATAAGATAACACAGGGTGAGGAAGAAAACACAGGACTGATGAGTTGTTTGAGGGGTTTGGAGACTGCAGCAAAGTCTTGGAAATGAAATCTTATTATAAAGCTGACCTGGAACACGTACGTGGTACAGCAGTTGCTTTAGTTTTAGAAACTAACCGTATCCTTGCCAAAATTTTCTGGCAGCACGCTTTTTGGGGAAAAGATCTGTCTAGAGATTCCAAGGGGAAGCGTGCAGAGATGAGCAAAATGTTCGAAATCAGCAAAAACATCAACTGTGCTGCCTGCAAACAGAACATTTTTTTCCTGTACAACCCTTCCACTAGCGCCCAAACAGTCAAGATCTTTTTTTTTTTTTTCCTTTCAGAAACAGAGGGGCTCAGTAATACTGCTAAAGCAGTCAAAACAAAGCAAAATAGGCATATCCAACATCTGAATGCTCACTCGGGCACTGTACAACAAACCAGCATTGGCGACAAGTGACCCAAGACCAGTTAAGCCCTAATTTTGAAATCCTGCAACAGAGATCTATCTTCTGCACGCAGTGACCAGCTGCCTGTTTCCATGCTCCACAATTCCTGAAGCATAGTCTACTATTCTTCCAACTGCACCATGCAAAACACTTTCTATAGATTTGCTTGCCGTGTTCAAGGCCTCTGGAATCATCTAATTCCATGCTGGTCCTTGATAGGCAAGGAGAGACACAAGGATAGATGTCAAGAGATTTGGATTTGGTTTTCAGTTTACATTATACACTTAAACTTGGGAAAATCGAGAATAGCTGAGCCTTAATTCTTAACTTGCAAAATGCAGGAACTGCATTCTGCGATTACCTTCTCTCCTGTATTTTAAAAAGTGGCATTTTGGAACATTTAAGCAATGACACCTATCAGGCCTGGACAAAGGCCAACACTGGAAAACTCCAGCAAATCACAATCACTTCATAACAGATCTGAGTGAGAACTGTTAGTAAGCAAAATCCAGTGGCTGCTGCCATTCTCCCAAGGCCACAGTCTCCTCCTTAGGGACTGTGAGCTCTTTGCAAAGCCCACAGAAATTGTTAGGCTAAGATGTTGAACCAGCTCAACCACCATCCAAACAAACACCTTTCCCTACGTGAGGAAATGCAACACTAAAGCTCCTTCTTCTCTTTCACTTTTTATTCTATTTTAAGAAAGTGGAAAGACATAACTGCACTTTTTTCCCCCATGTTACCAGCCAGCAAGCTTGAGCTAAGAACTAATTAGACCTTTACAGAGCTATTAGACCTATATAAATCTGGATATAGTTTTATTATTTGGCAACATGGCACTATTTTTTTTTTTTTTTTTTTTAAATAAGAGATGGGTGGGGAATTCAAACGAGGCTGTTATCTAATTTTAAACACAGGCTGTCCACCTGCTTGGCATATCATGTTCTCCATTCCTCCACTCCACCCCTTAACAAAATACCACCTTGATTTTTGCATCCTATTCCACTACCCTCAAGGATTGGATTATAATTACTGCAATGTTACTTGCTGTCTAGAAATATCGAGATCAGACATTCTCAAAGAGAAACTTCCCACAAATTCCTAAACGAGGAAAAAGATCCTTTTTATGGCAAAAACTCCAAGCGGCCACAAGACAGGATCACATTTCAGAAGACAAGTCTAAAGACAGACTAGTTTTCTTTTCCATTTCAAGTGCCACCCTCCTCTGTTTCTTTTCCCCACAAAGCTGTGGTGGTAAATAAATCTAGGATTTAATTCAACAGGACTAGCAAGAGGTCTGTTTTCAGGCACACAAAAAGCACTGGTGGTCTGAGAAGGTCAAGAGGAGCAGAAACTTCTCAAAAACTATTTCAGTACGTGCATACACAGGTTCAAATCAAAACACAGAACAACCATGAAGCCATACTTAAAAGGTGCTGCAAAGTTAACTGTTCATTAACCAAAATTTATTATTAACTTCTAAAAAGCTAATCTATTCCCAAGCATGTAGAGCCACTGTTCTCCACACCACCAATTCACTGTTCATATTAAGACTATTTACATATAACATCACTGCTATTCACCTTGAAGGTCTTAGGAGTGCCTCACCACATGTACCTACCAAAGACACACAGCAATACCTAGAGCAACACATAAGTTCTGCAGCTGTGGTCGTAAGCTCTAGAATACGAGCTTTCATTTAAAGGACATGCCTCCCCTGTGCCTCCCCCACTACACCCTCAACTCAGAAACTTTTCTCTATCACTCCTAATGGCAAAGCAAGCTTTGAAAACACTAATCAATTTGAAATCAATGTTGGATGTTTGCCTGAATTTGCAGAAAGCCTAGCAGAACAGGTCTCATGTTCGCATTATTCCCATCATCTCAGTGTGGTATATGATGCTCTGCAATGCAGAAGGACTGTGAATGTCAACGTAGAAACCCATTTCTACAGAGGAACCATCCAGCAGTGCATGCCACTAATATGTTTATTCCATTATCTCAGCATGACCTGCGTGCCTGCCCTATAAAGAAACGTGAAATATATTCTGCCTCCTTCTAACAAAATCTGGTTTTATCTTCCAAGAACTTTCATGATGCAGCCAGGCACTGCCAAGTACAAAAGTCTGTGCCATACTGAGGGCGCAAAGATAGTTACAGTAAAAATAATTCCATTAAAGTGGCAGGGGGCTATTGTTCAGACTGTATTGTTTGTATGCAATTCAATTAAGTCACTCTTTTAAGATGTCCATGGAAGAAACATGGCGACTGTGCAATAAGCCGTAGTATGCAGCTGTACTCTATGCTGTTGCTCAATTTAGATCCTGCTTGCCAGAGAGTCTGTAAACCCTTACATATATGCATCTTCCTCTACATACCCACCCACACAAATCCAAAACTGGGTCTGACCTTCCCCACTCTGCTTTGTCCATGCACCCCCATATAGTCCAAACAAATTCCAGCCACCCGTCCTGCCCGTGCTGCCAACAGCTGAACCAGGCAGCCCTAGGCAGCCATGTATTTGTGCCTGTTTCTCAACCTGCTAGGGTCCCCAGAGCTGCCCCCGCCCTGTCCTGAACTGTTTCTTGAACTGTTTGGAGACTTCTGAAAATAAAGCTGCTGTAAAAAATCTGCAGTACATTCAAATCCTGCCATTAGTATCAACACAGCCAGTCGCTACAGTCTGATGCACACTGTGTCTTGGAAAAGTCTGAAAGAGTTCTGTTTAGTTTACAGCCACATCCTCCATGCTTCTCTGGTTAATTTGAAAAGTAAAAGTGTGTTTCCAGACTAAAGGATGAAGTGTCAGCTACTCCTGACCTTGGATCCAGGTTAAGTGACAGTCTTTGTGCTTATAATACATTTCCACACAAGCACTACTTTCAGAAAGTGAAACTGGGCACAGCAGAGGGATTAAGTGAATAGCACAGTTGCGTAAAGGCTACAAGATACCACTGGGTGTGGTAAGAAAGTTTCTCCAGTTTCTACCGTGGGGATACAATGTTCAAGAGTTCCACATTTCCATACTCTGGGAGCACAGATGTCTCCTCAGCCTAGGTTCCTGACAGTACAACAGCTTGTCAACATCAACGTTCAACCCTTTGTGCTCCTCCCCTCAGGAAAGGAAGACACCATCAGACTGGCACAACTCTAAAAGTTTGCCCTTAAAATTCAGTATTTCTTATTTTCCTATCCTTTCAACTTCCTATTTTCCACATATCTTGATCAGAGTTTTGCTCACCTGCTTTGACCTACCTGCTGCTGTCTAAAGGGACTTAGCAAGTATAGTCACTCAAACACTCACTAGAAACCTGGGTAGTTTCAAATCCCAGATTTTGGGAAACAGGAGATAAGAAGGGTTGCAATGGGCAATGTATGTTCCTCACCACACGCAGTATTCAGCCACTGTCAGCCCATGAGATATTCCCAAGACCCTCTCCACCCAAGGAGCTGTGCTCCAAAAACAATGTGTCCTGAAAGGAATAAACGTCCTGGCCCTGATCCTTGAAAGCACAGCTTGAAAAATATAAATTCGATTTAAACTCATTCTTGCAAAGAACTAAAACATTAAGATGAAAGATACTGAATTAATTATCTGTTTGAGTGTGTCATACTCTAGGGTTGTGTGCATCGGCATTTCTCCCATGAGCGTGGTTTCCTCACTCGCATACAATGCTAGTTTGAGTAACCTCAGTATTGCCCAAATCAGCGAGAAGACCAAACAACAAATCTCCAGTCATGAATGTGGCAATACGACCTGTTACTCCTCAAAAAGCAGCCAATGCCCATCTAAACAACCCTATTTCCCTTGCCGTATCAGGTCCACTCAGGTTTGTGTTGCAGCAAAATGCAATGGCAATGCATAACAAGGGCTGAATACAAAATCCCACGGGACACAAGCCAGACCTGTAGGATGGTATGAGAGCCATGCAGATTAGGAAGGGAAGCCATACAAAATGGAAGGACTTACACCAGAGTTCATAGTAGTAGTTGCAACACTGGGATTGTCCACAACAGTGGCCCGTTTCACATATGTAACTTTGATTGTTGACACCCATGCAGGTTTCCTTGTCCTAAAATTAAACAGACACACTTTTAAGATGCTTTGTAAGTATCTTCTGTAAATGTAATCTTTTACTCAATGATCTGCAAGCATTTGAAAAGTCACAAGTTATGGTCTTGGGAAACTCTAAAATACATAAAGAAGTTAAAATACAGCTAAGGATCACCAAAAACCATGAAGGAAGAAAACCTCGTATCTCCAAACTTATGAGTTACAGTGCTTTATCATCTAGTCTGCGCTGCTTTCTCATCATCCCTTTCCTTTTCCATTAAAAGTTATCATGTTTTAGGAGTCAGACATTCTCTTAAGAGAGAGACGTCATTTGTTCCACATTTTACACAATATTGCTGCATTACTGAGGCTAAATGCCAAGTGGAGGAAATGCATTCATAAACAGAACATTATAATTTGAGAGAAGACTGCTTGGATTCATTTAGATCTAAATGATAATTACAGTATGTTCCTGCGAGATTCCAATCTAAAATGATTCCTTCATAATTAGCCATGTGCTTTACATAAGATCAGCATTCCTGTAAAACTTCTTCCTGGAATAGTGTAGTAGTCCAGGAGCAAAGCCAAATCAGCTGTATGGTATCACCCAGCAGGTCCTCAGGACACTCAAGAGGGAAAAGGACTACAGTGCAAGATCTCATTCCCTGATGTGGTGCATCACTTCACAAAAGTCTGCACTTTCCCACTACTCTGAAAACATGGGGGGGGGGGCAACTTTTAGGAGACACTATTGAGCTAGCACAGTATTTTCTGCTTTAGGCATGCTATTCATACGGAAAATTGTAATTTTAGTCAGCAAAAGAACTAGAAACATGACACATCTATTCTCTTATTTGTTCTTACTAGTTTATTTATACTTTTCCTCATTTTTGTTGGCCTTGCAGAGTTAATATAACTGACAAACAGCATAGATTTTGGCACTCTCATCAACAGAATTGAGAAATTAAGATCCCATTGCAAAATTGCAATCCTGTTGATAATGCACAAGCCAGAAAGTGACCAGCTGGGGTCCACAGTTGTGACACATAAGGATCAATGTGACCTATTGAACCAGTAAATGAATCACATGGAGCTGGTGAAATAGTCCCACAGGGCCATTTCAGGAACTCCTCTGCATCCCAACACTGATCTGTCTTTGATCACCTGTGTTTACTACCCCAAAATTTGTTCCATTCAGTGTTGTCTGCTTCAAAGAGCAGCAGTAAGGAACACACATCAGTGTCGTTTGGCAGCAACATATAACAGCTTCAACATCACTATATTTTTCCCCACTTGGAGTAGTCCTGTTTTCAAAGACTTTCATCACATTATACTTCTATTTGAACTTCCTGA